TACCGAAATGAATACAAAAACATCGGAAACAAGTATGTAATGTATCTTAACGGTTTATTTTACAAAGTACATGTCTGTTTATTTGTTGAAAATAATGTACAGAAATTACCATATGTTACAGTTCCTCGTGAACCTGCCAGCATTGATGTACAAAGAACAACTGAAAACAGCATCAGATTCACATGGACAGATCCTACCATATTTTGTGGTGATATTTTACAATATAGAGTAAGTAATTAGAATCTGTTCGGTTTATATATTCATCTCTGCTAGAAACTATGTACATACATACATCTTTCCACCTACTTGATTCTATTCAGCTACACAACAAGACAACTTGTATTCCATGTATGTTCAAAAAACAGAATTTGCAGATCTGTGGACGATTTACAGTTCAGTAGAATTAGGCCCAGTATGATTGGGTTTTATATTTATATTTATATTGTTGTGCACCCTTCTACAGATATACTTGTACCAATAGAATAAAATAATCACCATGATAATCACAAAATGACAAAACACTAACTGTAAATAAACTACAGGTATATGACGTATCCAATGTCTCCCTGGTGTGATACTTATTCAGCTTGGCTGCGCCATAGTAGTGATTAATTATTCTTCATTATTTTCATTTCATAATAGATAACATATAGATCAACTGAATCTGTGTATTCAACAACCGTGTTGGAATCTAAGGATATACTCGTTGATGGCGATATCAATACATACACTCTAGAAAAATTACCAAGAGGAACACAGTTTAAAATATCAGTGAGTGCAAGTACATCAAAAGGATTTGGTAAACCTAATTCAATTATCTCTGGGACTACAATTGGTAAGTGTATATTACGTTGTTTGATCAATTCATAAAAAAATATGTAAATCACAATAAAAAACAAATTCTGAACTAAATGCCTTTACTTACAAATTACATGCATGGTGGTTCAATTGATAGTGCTAGGCATTACATCGAGTTCATTGTGACAAATAGCATCCAAGCTCATTTTATAACACCAATTCCATAACTTCCGAAAAACTGGTACAGGTGCTAGTAATTATTTGTTTACAGTAACAGTTTGTAAATTATATTATTATATATGTACTGCAGTTTATTTTGATTTGTCGTTGAAATCAAAATCGGTATTTCCACACCTCATATGCAAATGAGGTCTGAAAGCTAACAAAGTAGTCCCTTCAGGAGTACGGTTTTTCGAAACATAGAAGAAATAAACAATATTACGAATTACGATATTTTTCTTTTGGGGTACATTAATATACTTGCCGAGTGAAATGAAATTTGAACAACAGTAATAGTACCTTTAGGCAGTCTATTTTGACTAAACTAATTTGCATATCACCCATGCAATAATGTTTTCGGTATTTTCACGGTAGATATGCAAATGACCATGATAATTCCATTGGCTACCGAACTATTTTTATTTTGTACAGACATTCTCGTCTGCTATTTTTGTTCGGTTCAAATCGTCAGGAACATTTTTAGCATGTTAGGTGTACATCACATAGAATACTACGATTGGCTGAACTTAATGTATGTTGACTACCTGGAAACTGAGTTTTAGAAACCTTGAAGGGCTCTCGGAAGATCCACCCGCAGTAAAATCAGTCATTACTCTGGAGCCGCCACCATCAACATCGATATACGAGTTCCAAGAGGTTTCTGCTGGCAATGTTGCGGCGTTACTCAGTTCAAAATGAAGACTACCAACGCCAAATGAGCAACATTTTAACGGGCAACTAAGACTCAATCAATCCACAACCAACCAGCAAGCAACATCACACACGAAGTTGTAGCGTGCAGCTCAGCGACGACCGCTGTCGACGAAAGTCATCCCGTCAGTAGAGTACCGCAGTTTCACGGCATGTTTGCCAATGCACAATTCTGTGGAGGAACTTTTAACTTCAACAAGAACTGTGTATCATAGTCGTCCAAGCTCTGGTTTTGTCGTGGTTCCAACTAAACGTCCACGAGTTATTTATTCGAACAGTGACACAGATTAGACATCTGATTATTTTATTTTCTCATTGACAGTGACACGCGTTGCTAGGGCGTAACACTATATTGGAACATATTAAGGTAGAGAGGTTCGTGGGCACTTGGGAGTGAAACTTTTTTTTTCTTTTTATTATCCAAACTATAGACTGTTAAAATATTGTAGAATTGTGAATAGTGGAACATACTCAAAAAAACGATTTTAAAATATAGATAACAGGTGCAAACATTATCTCTTTTGAATGCTCAGCAAGATTTAGCAAGGCTGTACATAAATAATAAAAAAGAAACATGGTGAAAAAAAAGGCTGGTTCTCCATATTATGCACTATATTTAACTTTT